GCTATTGGGACTGAACCTGATACAGATGTACTCTCAGAAATAATGAGTTCTTTTGCCAAGTCCATTGAAGTAATGGGAGATGGCTGCCTTAATGATGAACACTTAGAAGAACTGGGAGAAATATTGAAAGCAAAACTTGAAGGGCACTTTAAAAACCAAGAATTGAGACAGGTTAAAAGACAGGAAGAAAACTATGACCAACAGGTTGAAATGTCCTTGCAAGATGAGGATGAATGTGATGTTTACATTTTGACCAAAGTGTCAGATATTTTGCACTCATTATTTAGTACTTACAAAGAAAAGATTTTGCCATGGTTTGAACAGCTGCTTCCATTAATTGTAAATCTAATTTGTTCTAGTAGGCCATGGCCAGATAGACAGTGGGGATTGTGCATATTTGATGATATTATAGAGCACTGTAGCCCAACCTCATTTAAATATGTAGAATATTTTCGGTGGCCAATGCTACTAAATACACGAGATAATAACCCTGAAGTCAGGCAAGCTGCTGCTTATGGCCTGGGTGTTATGGCACAGTTTGGTGGAGATGATTATCATTCTTTATGTTCAGAAGCTGTTCCACTGCTGGTAAAAATCATTAAGTGTGCAAATTCTAAAACCAAAAAAAATGTCATTGCTACAGAGAACTGTATCTCAGCAGTAGGTAAGATTTTGAGGTTTAAGCCTAACTGTGTAAATGTAGATGAAGTTCTTCCACACTGGTTGTCATGGCTTCCACTGCATGAGGATAAAGAGGAAGCTATTCAGACTTTGAGTTTTCTCTGTGACTTAATTGAAAGTAACCACCCAGCTGTACTCGGTCCAAATAATTCCAATCTTCCCAAAATAATCAATATAATTGCAGAAGGAAAAATTAATGAGACTATTAACTATGAAGATCCGTGTGCCAAACGCCTAGCTAATGTTGTGCGCCAGGTACAGACTTCTGAAGAATTGTGGTTGGAATGTATATCCCAACTTGATGATGAGCATCAGGAAGCCTTACAGGAGTTGCTGAATTTTGCTTGAAGCACTTTAATACCACTTGAATATCATCTACTGTAAAAGCAACTCCAAATAAGTGTTGTGAATGGATTCCATTGTAATTGAGAGAACTGTTTTTTCCCTGCTAAGCAGTTTGTATTCCTTCCCCATGTTTCTCCAGGATTAGCCAGTGTTATAACCTTCTGTTCACCTTGCATGTTTTATCTCGTAATCATAGATCTTGGTGATGACCTGTGCTTCCACTGTCTTAGAATGTTTTTTCTCTTTCCCCTAGTTGATGTGAAGTATATAAATTGTTGCTATTTGTCTGAATTACTGATGCTGAGCAAGCATTATACTTGGTGTCAGGATGTCATACTGCCTATCACAAGATGCTAAGAGCTCACAAAGTTAGGACAGGAGAACTTCCAGGACAAACATCTTTGTAATTATGGGTGAAGAATATAGTGGCAGGCTTATTCCTCCTTGATTAATAGTCCTGGTTTTCATGGTAATAGGAAAATGCTGAAATTGGGAGAGAGTTTTGAGATATTGCAGTGGATGTGGGGAATTTTCTCTATAATATGCATGAACTTTTTCACAATGCCTTCCTCAGAACTGGGTGAAACATCCACATTCTACTTCCAGCTGAGAGTTATGAGAACTTCAGAATTTTCTTAGGCAGGCTGGTCTCTGTTAAGTTATCTAGGACTCTTAAGAACCATGTTTACTGAAAAGGGTGTCCTGACATCTAACATTGGTAGCATGTAACATACTGTAATAACACAGTTTGACAAATGGAAAGTAATATTTGTGGGAGTCATTAACTGTTATGTATTTGAGCAGAATATTGTATTGTGTATGTATGCTATTTTTCCCCTCCAAAGCAGCTCAACAAGAAGAGAAGACCTAATTTAAAGTGGAGCTTAAATAGATTTGTTTTGAAGAAGTTCTTAATAGATGCTATAGTAGCACTAAAGAGTATTCTATTGTGAAAATGAAAGGAAAGCAAAATTAATATTATCTTTAGACATGAAAATGTAAACAGCTTTGAGACCAGTCATTTAGCATTAGATGTGCATTATAAGAAAACAGTACTAGAAATGTAGGGTTAATTATATTATTTGGAATGTCAGTCTTTAATGTTGAGCTTTTGTAGGGTAGAAAAAGCTTTCTACTCAACAAATCATTGATCCAAAATTTAAAAATAAATACATCTATCATGATTTCCTGGTACTATTGTGAGTACTGTATATGTAAACTATTTAGCAAGTACTGGTAAGTGCTTAATTAATAAATGGTAGCTATTATTGCTGTTGTTTGTACTTCTGTTTTTTTATGATTTAGAATGCCTTTACATTAAAATATCCCTGATTTTCCACCTACCAGTTCAGATAAGCAGGCCATCTAGGCCATTGTGGTCAGAAATATGAAGGTGAAATTTTAGGTATGCAATTCCTGTCCATTCCGTACAATTATTTAATTAAGGAGGAAAAGCGAAGGACATTAATTACAGTATAGTCACAATTTTAAGTTTATTTAAGATAAATTTAATAATATGCAAATAAATAGAAAAATCCCACCACAAAATATTAATAGAGGTTTTCTCTGGGTAATGGGATTAAATGACAATTTTTTTCTTGAAACTTACTTTTCTGTATTTTGTAACTTACCTACAACCAACATATTTCTTATATATACATATTTTAGGTTCAAGGACCTAATCACAATCATCTTGGCTTCTCCATGACCTATGGCTGAGGTTCCTTCAACTCAGCCATACTTCTTTATCTTAATATTCCTTAATTAAGAAGCCCTTGATCAACATTTCTTGCAATTTCCTACACTCTTGTGCATGCACAATTGGAAATTCTGCCAGATGACATAATACCTAGCTGATAGGATTGTTGTGAGAATTAAAGGAGATAATGAATATAAAGTGTTTAATACAGGGTTCAACAAATGCAAGCTAATATATTGGAGAGTCCTGAAATAGGATTGGTCGATAAAGAGGAAGGGGGTTATTTGCTGGTGTAGGGTGGGTCCAGATTTTTGGGCTTTGTCAAAGGAAATGAGGGATGTCCAGTCAGACACTTTTTTGGTTGCCAGTTGATGAAATAGTTTCCTGCCTTTGTACCTGTGAGCTGAAGTACATCTATAGGTTTTGAGGAGAGAATGCTGTAAGTGCCTAATAAATTGCAAATGTCAGAATATCTGACCATTTAGTTAAATAGCTTTTACTTTAAAAAAGGTATATTTCTCATTCTAAATAGAAAGTATTATGTGCATCTTTCAAATAGAACATGGGAAAACAGTAATGTCTGCTTTATGGAACCATTAACTCCTTTCTGCCCACTTATTTTTAAGCAATGTGAATATTAGTGTGAAGGATGAGTCCACTTTTAAGACATCTAAACAGTAATTTTATAATGTGTAGTGAGATTACAAGGCCATGCTAATGACTACTTAATAGCTAACTAATGCTATACAGATGAGACTTGAAATATCTGAAAACTTTTTAGTCCCGAGGATATATTTTTTAATGAGGTTCCATTCCCCTCCTTTATTCTTAGCAAATATCAAGAATCAAAAATGTGGAAATATGTTTTTTCATTTTAACAAAAAACATGAGGTTTCCAAAATAGGAACTGATGTTAAGAACTGGAGATAGAGTTTCAGAAATCCGAGTTCTGCAAATCATCTTCTTGTCTCTTGCATGTGCACATATGTTTCAGTTCGTCTAGTTATTAAAGCTCCTTTTTACACGTTTCAAATTTCTAATTTATATTTAAAACCCGGCAGTGACAAGGGGAAAGAAACTGTGCAAAGAAAATGTAAATTTTACAGTAGGATAGGATTTACATTTTGTGTCTTCTTACTTTTCATCTGCTATTAACAAAAGTTATCTAGCAAGCTCCTTCGGGAATAATTTTAGTTTTTAGGGCTAGTAAGGGGCTATCGCAAAAGAAACAATCCTCCCGCAGTTCTTGCTCTCCAAAGCCCTTCGGCCTCTCTGCGCAGGCGCCTGGCTTCCCTCGCCACTCCGCCTTAAAATCGTCTGCAAGCTGATGACATCATTAGTGCGCGCAACCTACCAGATCTCGGGACCTGTAGCTACGCCGAAGTCCTTGCTGTCGCGTAGCGGGGCGGGACGCGAGGGGGTGGGGTTGTCTCAATGCGCATGCGCATCGTGGATGGCGACGGCGACTCTTTCTTTGCCCCAGTGGGGGGGTGGAGTGGGGACCTGAGTGCCTCCCTCTTCTCTCTGCCCCTCCCCTTTCCTCCTCACCAACCCCCCAGCGCCAACCCGCCCAGCGGGGCTTCTAACTGACAGTTGTCGTCCAGCTCGGTCGGCGCGCCGCCTCCTCCTTGCCCGGGTCCCCCGCAGGTAGAGAGGGGCGGGAGGGGGGTGAGGGAGTTGGAGGAGGAGGAGCCCGAGCCGCCGCGGCCCAGCGCTGCGGCCCCCTCCGGGGAGGCGAGAGGACCGGGACTTCGTCCTTCGCCCCCTCCCCCGCCCCCCCGCCGGGCCTGGGAAGGGGGGTGGGCCCCCGAGGTCGTGGCTGGCCCCGTCGGATACCTGCGAGTTCTGTATCAGAGGGGCCCCGGAAGGGGGAAAGCCCCCCTCAGTTATTTTTTTCTTACTTTTTTTTTATATTTTTTAATTTTATTTTTTTTTTTTTTTTTTTATTTTCTTTATTAGTGGTACACCCAGGATACCTCCCATTGGTTTGTGCTCTTTTTTGGTGAAATTAACCGTTATGCAGGTGCGGTGGATCAAAGTTGTTGAAATTTATATTTAG